TGGGGGCTGAGCTTGTCAAGATTTTAGATGTGTGCATCGATCGGTACGATCAATTATACGTCTCAGATAAAAGAATCCAGGCTTGTTTGGGTGAGATTGGAGTGCCCTTGACAAAAGAGCTTGGTTTCCACCAGATTGACATACGTGGGAGCCCGTACGGTTAGTTATCAGCGCACCCAGTGGCCCCACTAGTGTCACTTCACATCTTGAACTATGTGCAGTCGATATTTCCCTTCCCCCAAAAAGTAAATTTAGATTTTAATTAAAAAAAACTTTTACTTTTGAAAAAAACTAAATTTTTTTTAAAAAGACAAAAAAACCAACTTTCAAACCAAAAACTTCTGTTATGATTTACGGCGTAATTGGTCCGTTTCTGTATCTTGGGGTTACACTGTGCAGTTGTATCCAAAGTTGATAACAGTTAGGAAGCTGGAAGCCGCATTACAAATGTTTCAAATGTGGAGTTTGAAGTTGGGTCTTTTCACGTTAAATACTCGATCTGTTATTTCGGATTCGTGTGAGAGTTCGCTTATTTATTTGTTGGATCGAGTTGAGCGTGGTGGCGAGGATGTGACCGCAACGACGTATAAGAGGCACAAAAGTATCGCGGAGATAAATTGTGGCAACTGTCACTGTAGGCCTGCCTTAGCAGTTAAAGTTTTCAATGTCACAGCTGCAAAGTTGAGCCCAGAACTATGGGATAAGGTGAGGAATTTAAAATTTGCCTTTTAATTAGTTGCATGAATGCTCTAGGAAAATATATAAATTTTTTAAAGAAAAGTAAATCAAAGAAAAATAAGAAATGGACTTCATATATAGCCCTTAGTTTCATTGATATTTTTGTCATAATTTTATAGATTAGTTACCAAACTGAAATGCTTTAGAGGCATTGACCCAAGCAAGATTCGTTGACCCGATAGTCAAAATATAATGTGAAGTGAAGAAAACGAAAAACAGAAAGCACCTCAATCTTCTGCTGAATTTGCTGTGTAATAGTTCAGCGCAATTAGTGGCATATATGCGTGGAATTATTATTTGTTTTGTATACAATAGTTCAATAATGTTGTCTTTGACATTATATTTGAGGAGTGCCTAACATGTTGGAGAAATGGGCAGGCACCACGTAGACAATGTTGTCAGATCATCGACGGCACACAAGGAGTTGTTGATAGTGTGGTACAAGTTCAGATTAGAGAATGCAATCGGTTTGAGAGTGTAACTCCTCCTTAATTAGAAGGTAAAACATGTCATAATTAAGAAATTTTTTCGTTTCAATACGAACCCTTTGTTGTAGTAATAAAATTTAGGAAATATTTTTGCTACTTTAACTCAAGGTGCATCATTCTTTGACATAATCTCTTCGAGATTTCTTTTTCTCAATGAATATTTTGGGGAATTATCAAAAGAGTCAAGACTGATAAATTAACATAAAAATGTACATATGAAAAGAGTGAAGTCTCAAGAGTGACTAAATTAAAGGCACGTATACGTCAACTTAGAAACCGGACGTTTAGGTGTCAAAGTAGGACCTGCCTTCATGTTCTCCCTTCAACCTTCATATATTTCAAAACCCATATCCTTCTCCTCCTCGTCTTCCTTTTCATGATTTCCCAGAAAACCCATATTTCAAGACGTTTAGGCATCAAATTAGTTTTCCATATTAATTATGTCATGTTCAAGAAAAACCCTTCACCACCATCCTTTTAATTTATGGAAGTTCCTAGTCTCCCCCACAATCAAAGCCGTAGATGTCTTTTCTCTCACCATTAAATCCACTCTGGCTCTTTGCTCCGTCGCTTCCATCTCTCTCATCCTCTACTTTGCTTTCTCAAATTACTCCCATTTCCCCCTACCCCATATTAACACAGTCACCTTCTTTAACCAAAACGGCAGCTTCTCAATCGAAGGTCACGAACAGACAAATATATCCCACATTTTGTTTGGCATCGGAGGCTCGGTGAAGTCATGGAACAAACGCCGACACTACAGCCAGCTGTGGTGGAAGCCTAGCGTCACCCGCGGGTTCGTCTGGCTTGACGAAAAACCCTTCCCCAACATGACGTGGCCAGGGACGGTCCCGCCGTACAAAGTCTCCGAGGACACGTCACGGTTCAAATACTCCTGCTGGTACGGTTCCCGGTCCGCGGTTCGCATAGCCAGAATTGTAAAGGAAAGCTTCGAGTTGGGGTTGCCAAACGTGAGGTGGTTCGTTATGGGAGATGATGATACGGTGTTTTTCACTGACAACTTAGTTTCGGTGTTAGCGAAATATGATCACAATCAGATGTACTATATTGGCGGGAACTCGGAGAGCGTGGAACAAGATGTGACACACTCGTACACCATGGCCTACGGCGGAGGCGGGTTTGCTATTAGTTACCCATTGGCTGCTGAGCTTGTTAAGATCTTAGATGGGTGCATCGATCGGTATGATAAATTCTACGGCTCAGATCAAAGGATTCAGGCTTGTTTGAGTGAGATCGGAGTGCCCGTAACAAAAGAACTCGGGTTTCACCAGCTCGATATACGTGGAAGCCCGTACGGTTTGCTAGCGGCGCACCCGACGGCCCCACTAGTGTCACTCCACCATTTGGACTATCTGGAGTCAATATTTCCAAACCTAACTCGGATTGACTCGGTGGAAAAGTTGGTCAGTGGGTATGAAGTGGATCCGGGTCGGATCCTGCAGCATAGTTTTTGTTATGACTTGAATCGTAATTGGTCTGTTTCGGTGTCCTGGGGTTACACTGTGCGGTTGTATCCGTTTCTGGTGACTGCTAAGAAGTTAGAAACGGCGTTAGAGACGTTTCAGACGTGGAGGAGTTGGCATGCTGGTCCGTTCACATTTAATACCCAACCCGTCAGTTCAGACAAGTATGAGAGACCCATTGTTTTTATGTTGGATCGTGTTGAGAGTGTTGATGAGAGTAAAACTTTGACGGGTTACAAGAAGTACAATATAGGAAAAGAGGAAAACGATTGTCCTAAATGTAACTACACTAGTGCTTTGGCAGTTCAATTTTTCAACGTCTCAGCTCCCAAATTCAACCCGGATTTGTGGAATAAGGTGAAGGAAATTTATCTCTTTCACTAGCTTGAATTTTTTTCTTGGAAAATTAGGTGGCGTAGTTGATTTCCAAAGTGAGTCTTCTCATGGTCATAAAGTTATAAGAACTTGTTTTGGCACAATTTTACTGGTGTCTAAATATCTTGCAATGTTTGGTTATGTGGAATTAATTAAGGTTGACTATTAGCGTGTGTGCCTAACATATGTTTTGGGAAATGATGATGGAATGTGCAGGCACCGCGTAGACAATGCTGCGAGATCATCAATGGCACAGATGGAGCTGACAGCGTTGTACATGTCCAAATTAGAGGCTGCAAGCGCTTTGAGAGTGTCACTCCTCAGTAGGAAAATAGAGCATCTAAGAACAATCGATCTTGAAAGCGGGAAGCTCTGATTGGAGTCAATACGTACTAATTTTGGAGGGTTCCAACAGCAAAAACAGAAGCATGGATAGGAATAGGATGATCAAACTATGTTAAAAGCTATAGCTATATATATTCTCAGTCCTCACAGAATTATTTTGTAGTGTTTTAAATACATTATAGAATTATATGGTTTGAAGTTTGAGCTGGCCAGTTCAATTTGGATTTGCTTTTTTGGGGCTTCGGCCCTCCATTGTGCCAAAGAAGAAAACCTCATCCAGTGTGAACCAAGATCCATCAAGCAACAAATGAAGATGGGGAGATTTCTGGAACAATTTTATCCCCAATTAAAGATAGGGGTGATGAAAATGAGGTGTCTTGGGCCCGATCATGACAAGTCCTATCCATGCCAAATGGGACAAAAAGATTTATTGGTGCTTCACACCAGAAGTTTCTCGACTTCTATATATTGCTTCCATTATCCATGCGCCAAATGGGACAAAAAGATTTATTGGTGTTTTACACCAGAAGTTTCTCGACTTCTATATATTGTTTCCATAAATGGTAGTTTGATGGCTGTGGCTAAAGATTTTTCATTTTTGTGGCTAGTGATTAGTGTAGAAAGCAAGAAAAATAATGGGCTTCAAAAATTTGGTCATCATGCACCTATCGAATCACACATTTAAATTGTTTTTTATTTTAAAAACAATTGAGGAAGAATATTGTTTCATCACTTCGGCAAATCACAATTTGACACTCATAAAAAAAATACAAATTTATAAATAAACCCAATCCTAAACATGTATTTATAAAAAAACCCTAACACTATTTAAACATAGAAACACACCCAAAATCAACAATTGTATATTTTTTGGGTGTGTTTATAAATGGGTTTTGAGTGTGTGTAATGATGAATTTTGGGTGTATTTATAAAGTGTTTTGGGTGTTGAGTTTTTTTATAATTTCAGTCCCCATTTTGGGTGTTTTAGTGAAACCCCCTAAAAAAAAATGCACACGTGTCAATTTGTATTGACGTATAAGTCCAAAAATGAGCCAATCCTCCATGCAGGAATAAGAATCATGTACAAGCAAGGTGCTAGTAACTCAGCCAACAAGGTCTAGTCCAATGATCTTGACTTGTAGATCAATAGTCTCGTATTTAAATTCCTATGGCACCCTTAACTCTGTGTATGTGTGAAAAACCCAGTCTTCTAACATTGCTTGTGTGTGTATATATATGTGTTGGTAACTCAAGTAAATTAAGAACCTTTATTTTTTCACCCAAGGTCATGCGTTCAATTCCTTCTCCCCCAATATCGTTTGTATATTTGAAGAAGGATTAACAATCCTATACAATTGAAGAAACTAAACTAATATGTGGAGAACAAATAAGCTTAAACCCTAACCTCAAATCCAAATGAGTTCCCAGAACACTCCATTTTGTCTTTATTATAAAAGGCCCAGCAGTCTTCATTCTGTTTCCAAGCAAACCATGTGGCCCATAACATTCACAATGGTTTCCAAAATACTCTAACTACCCACAGGTCCAAAACCAACGTCCACTTCACCAGGATACAGTGAGCAACGTAATACCGCCTTCCCCATTTGCGTGGCCGTTGGAAATTCGTAAGCCAATTCCCATGATTTCCATTTCACTTTCACTCCAAAACCTCTCTCCCTCCTATAAATTCTTGTCCCCTGCCTTTCTCTCCTTCCCAAGAGAGAACGCTCGACAACAGTTTCAGTTTTATTTTATTTCTGTTTAAAGATTTCACCTTGTTCCTTCAAACATTTCCACCCTTCATTTGATTGCAAGCTTTTGACTTGTGCAATCAATGGCTGCTTCAATCTCAGCAACCATCACGGCTGTTAACAGAGCACCGGTACTGTGAACTTCCCGCCCTTTTTGTAACAAATCCAACTCTTGTTTTCCTCTGTTTTCATCGGTTAAATCATCAATTTGTAAACTTTCTCATTGTTTTGATCGTCTCTCTTTCATTTTGTGTCTGTTCATTTGGTAGAACAAACTTTCTTTCTTTTTCTGCAATTTCGTGTTTGAATTATATGATTTTAACTTGTGATAGAGGTTTTTTTCCTTTACTGGGTCTGTTTGATTTACTCTGAAAAATGGAGTGTTCTTGGTGCAGTTGAAGTTAAACGGCTCAGGTGCTGCATCTTCCTATCCAAGCTCTGCCTTCTTAGGCAACAGCCTGAAGAAGGCCACCTCCAACATCACGCACCCAAAGATTTCATCTGGGAATTTCAAGGTTTCTGCAGAATATGATGAGGAAAAGCAGACCTCAAAAGACAGGTGGGGAGGGCTTGCCTTTGACACTTCAGATGACCAGCAGGACATCACCAGAGGAAAGGGCATGGTGGACACCCTCTTCCAAGCCCCTATGGGTAGCGGGACCCACTATGCAGTCATGAGCTCCTATGATTACATCAGCACTGGTCTTCGCCAGTAAGTGTACTTTTCAAGTTTTCAAAGTCAAATTTTCATATGAACTTGATCCCATGTAAATTCATAGGATGGTTAATGTTTCATGTTCTGTTTCAGATTGGACAACATTATGGATGGCTACTACATTGCTCCAGCTTTCATGGACAAACTTGTTGTTCACATTACTAAGAACTTTTTGAACCTGCCAAACATTAAGGTTTGTTAAATTTTGATCATAACTCCAATTCTTCTGGGTAGGTTATAGATATTGGTTAATTGATTGGGATGCTTAAAAAATTTGGAACAGGTTCCTCTTATTTTGGGTGTATGGGGAGGCAAAGGTCAAGGAAAGTCATTCCAATGTGAGCTTGTCTTTGCCAAAATGGGAATCAAGTGAGTATACATTTTTTGTGCCCTTCTTTCTTTTTGGTTATAAATTGAGAACTTTAGCTGCCAATTGAAAATCTGTTGCCCTTATGAACATTGCTGAATTTAGAAAAGAGTTGAGTTCAGATGATTTTATAGTAAAATATCTAAGAATGACAATGAATTCTCAGCCCTATTATGATGAGTGCTGGAGAATTGGAAAGTGGAAATGCTGGAGAGCCAGCAAAACTGATCAGGCAAAGGTACCGTGAGGCAGCAGACATCATCAGCAAGGGCAAAATGTGCTGCCTCTTCATCAATGATCTAGATGCAGGAGCTGGAAGACTTGGTGGAACCACTCAATACACTGTCAACAATCAAATGGTGAATGCTACCCTCATGAACATTGCTGACAACCCAACCAATGTCCAACTCCCTGGCATGTACAACAAGCAGGAGAATCCCCGCGTTCCCATCATAGTCACTGGTAATGACTTCTCCACATTGTATGCCCCTCTCATCCGTGATGGACGTATGGAAAAGTTCTATTGGGCGCCTACTCGCGAAGACTGCATTGGCGTGTGCACAGGGATTTTCCGGGCTGACAATGTTCCTAGAGATGACATTGTCAAGCTTGTTGACACTTTCCCTGGTCAGTCCATTGGTAAGTTTTTGTGCCTTAATCTCTAACATGAATATGGGACATGAGGCATTGTAACTTGAACCACAAACAAGAGATTGACTAATACAATTGTGTTTGTGTGCAGACTTCTTTGGTGCTATAAGGGCCAGAGTTTATGATGATGAAGTGAGGAAATGGGTCGCCAGTGTGGGGGTAGAAAGTATTGGTAAGAGGCTTGTGAACTCAAAAGAGGGTCCTCCGACTTTCAATCAAACGAAGATGACTCTTGCGAAGCTGCTTGAGTATGGAAACTTGCTTGTGCAAGAGCAGGACAATGTGAAGAGAGTCCAATTGTCTGAAAAGTACTTGAAAGAGGCGGCTCTAGGAGACGCCAATGACGATGCCATCATGAGTGGAAATTTCTATGGTTAGACTCTTGATCCTGGAGGCCTTGATGATAGGGTTGCATCTGGCTTTAGGATTGTAAATGGAAAAACCAACTTGAGAAGAAAAATTCTTATAGCTTTTAATAATTGTTTGGATGCAGGGAAAGCAGCCCAACAGGTTAACCTGCCTGTCCCTGAAGGTTGCACTGATCCATCTGCAGCAAACTATGATCCAACTGCGAGGAGCGACAACGGAAGCTGCCTGTACCAATTTTAGACCTTTTCTAGTAGGAATTTGAGAATCTGTATTAGAATGTGGTGGTCTTCATTGTGTCATTGCAATGTGCTTGTGCAGCCATTCTCATGAGTTCAGCCAGGTAAATATATACCAGCCCAATTGAACCTTATGTATCTGTTAGTTTTTTCAAGCAAGCTAATGAAAAAGAGTAAAATGCTATGAAAATATAAAAATTCTGCTTGCCAAAACAGAAAATATGAGCAGCTAATTGGAATTCAAGCCGAAAAATCATGTAAAATAATGCCAAGCTTCACATTACAGCCAAGATGAAAAAGGAAAAAATAAAACCAAAAACAAAATTAGAAGTACTTCTGCAACAGCCAAATGATGCCTTCAGAATGTAAGAGAAAAAGCACATGGTGAAGTCTAATTGTGTCCGAATGAAACCTACCTGTATCTGTTTCTATAGCAGTTGGAAGCGTCGTAATGTGTCTCAATACAACCAAATGTGCGGGGGCCCTGTGCCCACAAGACAAAAGCCACAAGAATTTGCGGACTCAGCAATCGTCTTGGCATGTGTGGCTGCATTATAATTTATATCTCATCACAGACCAAGTAGATGTTCTTTTAATCCAATCTGAATTCTTGGGCATGCACCTTTCCAAAAAGCCAGCATGGAATCATTGCGCCTTTTAATTTAGACTCTTACTTACATAGAGAATCAATTTCTAGAAAACAAAACAACCCCTCATCTACAGTGCAATAATTTTTTTATTTTTTATTTTTACATTTCGGTTTGTTCCATATCTTTGACCATAAACAGAAGTTTTGAGAGGTCTATTTATGAAAAATTCCGAAAATGAGACGCAACTTCATCATCATGACATGTGCATAAAGTGAAAACTAAAAGCCCGTTTGATGAAGTGTTTTCACCTAAAATGTCCAATGTCGAGTGCAATAACAATTCAGTTCATGTTTTTGTAATTCTTTTAAAGTATTTTTTACTATAAAGAATTTTAAAAGTGAGACGCAACTTCATTATCATAACGTGCCCATGAAAGGAAAACTAAATCTATCTTAATTCCACATCATGCCGCATAGGATTTGTTTATTGTCTTCATACGAAGTTTCTTGCTTTTGTTTAGTGCCCATAGAAGGAAATTTTCCCAATACAATGATTAAATTAAGAAGCACATTTTTGTTTGAGACTTTGAATAATGCAAAGCTGTTTTCCCAGGTAAAGTGACATCCGTAGCCCACGTTTTTTAAATATATAGTGAGATAGTGGGTTTGAACTTTTGTAAATTGTAGTCCTTAACCTTCAATCATCTGTGAAAGCGTAATGACTAAAGAAATTGCATATTGGCTGGCATTAGAATGGCATTAAGCCTGCTCCCTTAACGTTTAAAAGTTAAGATTCCTTCCAACTTGCTGTTAAACAAATATCATTAGAGATTATAATTTTTTGATCTCCTAGTCTCAGATTTTCTCATTTAGGCAAGCATTAATGATACAGTGGTATATATTCTCTAAAAGAATGTTAATCATTGCAATCACTGAAAGTCCAACTCATCGGGGTATCAGATGTACTCAATAATTTTTCGAATTAAGATTCGAGTGACGAGTTTCGGTTAAATTTGGTTTAAACCCTCCAACTTATCCAACCCACCTAAGATCCACCCTATACCTACAATTATGGATAACTTCTTGTTCCCACCTGAGCATTGATTGTCAGCCAAATTTGAAGGGAAAAAAAGTGGAAAAGCCAAAACCAATCACTGAAATTCACCTTTTTATTTTTGTTTTTGTGAGGGAAGAACAAGATATTAACAGACAAACGTCACAAAATATGTCCTATCCGATCGGTTCACCAGATAAAAAGGAGGCTGGGAGCCTCTCTGTTCTCCAATGCTTGTGAGCATCCCATACTCTTCCAGACTGAGAGAGCATGTCTCGTTTTTGCCCATCTTCTGTGGCTCTCTACCTGTACAGAAATTGATCCATAGGCTGCTTTCTGTCTCTCTCACTTTTCTCACGCCTAACCAATGGACCAATGGCCCATGTGACCAATTAATTAGTCTCCCAATAATCCTTCACTGCTCTAAGAAACCACCTCTCTCTCAGATCACCAAATCTCATTTGTAACTCCAATCCCACCAAACCCTATTGAAAAATCTTCCTTCCATAGCTTCTTGATCCAACTTTCAATTTTGTCACCTCATCATCACATGGGAAATCTTCTCAGATTGTTCTCTGTTTCTCTTCTTCTACTTGTTCTCTGTTTCCCAGCTTCATCTCAGGTCAGTGAGCTCTTCTATCCTGGTTTCAAAGATGTGGCTGCCAACCTAACCTTAACCGGAGTTGCAGAGATTGAAAAAATTGGCATCTTGAAATTGACCAACGACACCAGTAGGCTAATGGGCCATGCCTTTTACACTTCACCAATTCAGTTCAAGAACAAAACCAATGGCAAAGCCTTCTCTTTCTCTACGTCCTTTGCCTTCACCATAGTCCCCGAGTACCCGAAACTCGGAGGCCATGGCCTGGCCTTCACGATAGCGCCCTCCAAAGATCTCAAAGCTCTGCCTAGTCAATATCTTGGTCTTCTCAATGGCAGTGAGATTGGCAACTTATCAACCCACATATTTGCAGTTGAGTTTGACACAGTTCAAGACTTCGAGTTTGGAGACATCAACGATAACCATGTAGGCATCGACATCAACAGCTTAAGCTCAAACGACTCTGCTGCTGCTGCCTATTACAAAGACTCTGCTACGAAACAGAGCATCAACCTCAAGTGTGGGAAACCAATTCAAGCGTGGATCGACTACGATTCGGCTCAAAATATTGTGAATGTAACAATTTCACTTTCTTCTTCAAAACCCAAAATCCCACTTCTATCCTTTCACGTAGATCTCTCGCCAATTCTTGAAGAATTTATGTATGTTGGGTTTTCAGCTTCAACGGGTCTGCTTGCTAGCTCCCACTACATATCGGGCTGGAGCTTCAAGATCAACGGAGAGGCTCGAGCTCTTGACTTGGGTTCTCTTCCTTCACTTCCACAACCCAAGAAAAAGCACCCATCTTTAACAATTGGGCTATCAGTTTCAGCCATTGCTCTTTCTCTGTCTGCAATCTCTGTAGCCATTTACCTCTTCGTGAAGAAAACCAAGAACTCCGACCCAATAGAGTCCTGGGAGCTGGAGCTGGGCCCCCATAGATACTCCTACCAAGAATTGAAGAAAGCCACAAAAGGATTTAGGGACAAGGAGCTACTTGGGCAAGGCGGGTTCGGTCAAGTATACAAGGGAACACTCCCAGAATCGAAAACCCAAGTCGCGGTTAAGCGAATTTCGAACGATTCAAAACAGGGTTTGCGTGAATTCGTAGCGGAAATCGCCAGCATAGGTCGTCTTCGGCACAGAAACTTGGTTCAATTGTTGGGTTGGTGCCGACGAAGAGGCGATCTTCTTCTTGTCTACGATTACATGGAAAATGGGAGCTTGGACAATGCCCTGTTTGATGAGCCCAAAACCGTACTGAGCTGGGAACAGAGGTTTAAGATCATAAAGGGCGTTGCTTCAGCCCTGCATTATTTACACGAAGGCTATGAACAAGTTGTGATTCACAGAGACGTGAAGGCAAGCAATGTGTTGCTTGACAATGAGCTAAACGGAAGGCTTGGGGATTTTGGGCTTGCAAGACTTCATGAACATGGCTCAGTTTCAAGCACCACAACTAGGGTTGTGGGCACTTTGGGTTATTTAGCACCAGAGCTGCCGAGGACTGGTAAGGCCAGCACTAGCTCTGATGTGTATGCATTTGGCGCGCTTTTGCTTGAGGTGGCCTGTGGAAGAAGGCCCATTGAGCCCAAGGCAGTGGCTGGGGAGTTGGTTTTGGTGGACTGGGTTTGGGAGATGTACAGAGAAGGCAGGCTGCTTGATGTTGTGGACAGGAGGCTCAATGGAGAGTTTGACGAGGGTGAGGTGGTGATGGTGTTGAAATTAGGGCTCATGTGTTCCAACCATGGGCCGATCGAACGGCCAAGCATGAGGATGGTGGTGAGGTACTTGGACGGTGAGAATGAAGTTCCAGGGGACTTGAGGGGCCCACGTAGGTTGAGGAAGGGTGATCGTGATCATGAGGCTGCCTTTGATGATCTGATGAAGTCGTTTGCTTCATCATCTTCGTTTGATAAGATGAGCTTGTCCTCTAATAAAGATATGGATGCTACTTTTGCTTCCCTTTCTAATTCTCCTCTCAGTCTTCTCCACGGCCAAACTAGGTAGTCTTGATTTTTTTTTTTTCCTTTTTCTGATCAAATTTCGTATATGAAACCTTGATGAGCAAATACTGTTTGAGACCAAAAGAAAAACAAAGGACATGCAAATTATTACCCAAAAGATTACTACTTTGTCTTTCAATTAATAACCGTTATATCTTGAATATTGAATGTATGCGCTTAAGGTTTAAGACTTAAAAGTTCGATTATCGCCTTCTCAAACATTTAGCTTAAATTTCCTTTATATTAAAAAGAAGAACAAAAAAACTTAAAAATGATGTCTTTCATTATTGTTTGAGCAGAAAATTCAACAAAGCAACAAGGGATTGCATAAATTTGTATCGTCCTTTGTCTCACTTAAGGGAAAAAAAATTCAAAATGCATATGTGAACACATGTCGAGAGACTAATATGAGATGCTACGCAACGCAATGCATTTAGTCTTTGATTCATGTCATAAGGCAAAGAACTTAAGAAAAAGGAGTTCAACGACTTTAACATCACCCTTTTCATTCCAATTGGAAGAATGTTGAGTCCATCAAAGAAGTGCGGTGCCGCTCATGGTTCATTTGCGTACGAGAAACACCCCAGGAAGAATGTTGGGTTTTTATTTTAAATTATATTATGAATATAAAAATCATTTTAGCATAACCATTAATCTCAGAGCATAGTGGCTTAGGCATACATTCAACTTTTATACAGAGAGTGGGAGTGTTGGAGTGGGAAGGTCTAAAAGAAAGTTGCAAGCTGGGAAAGATGGTGGAGAGTGGGAGTTGTTGTTGTTGAGGTCGGTGTGTGTGTGGAAATATTCCCTCCTTTTCCAAAATGGCCAATGGCCAAAGCCTCTGTCTTGTTTGTTAATTATGGACAAAACTAGATTATTATGCATCTTTAATTGTTTGTCCACCATGGTGCTGCACTGAAATTGATGTGTCTTTAATCTAAG